AGGAGACTCCCCTGGCTTACCCACACACCCACGGAATTAAATTCTGGCTCTCTATATAGCTTGTGTCATGTGCAAGGAGCTGCGGGTTGTGCAGACGCCCACAGGGTTATTTTTAGCATTGGTGACAAGGTAACCTGGAGGATTCCTGCCAAATGAGGAGGGCATGCAGTAAATCGTACGCAGCTAATTAGCGGTGACAGCCGAGCTTTTCTCTGCTCCTGCTCTGCTCTGTCTCTGACACAAATCTGTGTCATGTCTTCCCAGCCAGTCTGAAATTATGATCTAAATCAGGACAGTTCCCTAATTTCTACTTCAGCCAGTGGGAGTTTGAGCACAGCCAGAGCTGCATCAAAAAAACCCCCAAAACTCAACAATCTCCAGGTAAATTTAGGGCAATGTCTAAACTGGGCTCAGCTAAACACTTTTCTGCATTAACATCTTGTACCTCACTCTCCTTTTGACCAAATCATGTACAGTTTGCTCCCAAATCCTGTGAATTCAGCCCGCTTTCTCAGTGGATGCCTCTGGAGGGCTGATTCCTTTGCAGTCAGCAGAGCTGCTCTGAGCCATTCCCATGAGGAAACAGTGCTGGATGTGCCGTTCTTAGGAAACAGGACACAAAATTTTCCTTTATGACTGCTTTGTGTTGAACCGTCACACTTTATGCTTTCAGGCTGCAAATCTGAAGTGCTGTTTTCTTGGTGGTGTTCTGCCTTCAGCAGCGCTGTGAACTTCACGCTCTGTTACGTGAGGCTGAGCTACAAACCAGAGCCTAATCTCAGTATGCCTTTTGCTACCTCTGCACTTTCTGGGAAGTTAACTTGCAAATGCCTTTCTGAGAACCTCAGGGAAGCACTAGAACTACAGATACCCAGATGTGGTAAATCTGAATAAAGATACCTCCTTTGTCAATTTACATTGACAAGAAACCTTGCCCCAGCATGATCTGCTTCCCCAGGCCAGGATTTCCAATGTGGTTTAGGTGATTTAGGTTCACAAAGCTGTCACTCTTCCTTTGTGACTTCTTTTATGCCCACACTTCTGCATGTGAATTTCCATCTCCATAATCTTTTAAGTGCTGCTTAATGCTTCGTGTCTACTTATGCAAATATCCAAGGAGGTGACACAGAACATGAAGTGAAAATTACAAGTACAGTCTTTTCCGGGAATTCATGTTTTTGTTGAAACATTAAGTAATAATGGAGTGTCTTTAACTGTGGTTATACAAAGCGTGCCTGAGAAACACCAGCCACCCAGGCAGTTCAAACATTAACTTTCCAAGCAGTCAGATATCAAATTTAATTAAACAACCCTTTCCTACATCACTTTTCAGTTGAGCAACTATTTTACTTCTCCAGGTTTTAGCTAAAACTCCTTCTAGAACAAAGTGGGTCTGTAAGACAGAAAGTAGCTCTTGCAAATAATCGTACTTGCAAATGTCTTCTCTGCCTCTTGACACAAAGAGCTCTCAATTCATTGAATTCCATGGAGGGCTTATTATCTGTGCTGTGAACCCATAATAATTGGAAACGAGACCTGTTGGGAGCCTGGAATACCAAAATCTCTGTTGTCTAATGCACGGTAGAATACTGCAAGCACATATCGTGGCCAGGGGCACTGGGATGCATGAATTAATAACAGAAAACATGACTGGAAAGGGAAACATGGGGAAGATGGAACACTACCGGTTTGGATGGAGGTAGAGGGAAATGTCTGTGTTTCCATGGCAACAAGTGGTAATTTGGCTTGGAAGCACAGAAGATGGGAAATACGTGATGGAAAGTAAAGAAAAATAAGTATTTGTTTTGGTTGTGCAAACGCTCATGAGCGTGACAGCACAGAGTTGGTTTTCTTGCCAGATTCACAACTACCCCTAAATGTATTTCAACTAGAACCATTTAGAAAAAATACAGTGGTTTTGATAAAATGCTTTTCTTCTGTCTCCCTATCTTTCTAAGTTACTTAGATGCCATTATTGATGTGTTTTGTACATTATATACATTAGCATAGCTTTCTTTCTAGACTACAGAGCTAGGCTGTGTTAGCTGTGAAACACGCAATTTTCTAGACAGCTATAAACTTTCAAATCCCTATGAATGTGCTGTTAAATATTGATCTTGAAAACAACTGCCTGTTTACTTGCTATTCTGATGCAGACAGCAATTGAATAACAACTCTCTAATTTGCTTGTACATTATTCTCTTGTGCAGAAGGACAGGTCTATAGCCTGATGGTACATGTAGATTCATAGCTGAGCAGGCAAGTCCCATTGCAATTATCAAAGTGCTACCAGTACAGAAGTAATGTGCTCTAATCTGCACAGGAAATGGCAAGATTGTACAGCAAGCATTCATGCCTATTGGATCCCAATTGCCTGATAGTACCTCATACTTGAGCACTTAGCAGTATGCTGTAAACTTCCACGCTGTCACACCTACAGAGAGAGTAAGCTGCACAAGTATCATTAAATGAATGAATGTAAAGATCTCAAAATCTCATCCAAGATTCTCATTCTTCTTCCCAGTGTGGTTACATTTCCATGCTACTGTCAGGTTGTGCTATGAGTGGGGACTCTGGGGTGGTCTGTATTATAGGGAGTGAGAACTAGTCAGAAATTCCAGAGGGATCAATTGAGGGCTTTGACACCTCTGCCTTTGCCAGCACCAACTTTTAGGTTTGGGATTTTATTTTTCATTTTTTACCACATTCCTTGTTTTTTTTTTTTTTTGTATAAATATTGCTTTTGTGCATCCGGCACCTGAGCTTGTTTGTATGGTCACATTCTATTCTGGTGGATGAGTTAAGAGCCGAGCTGAGCTCTGCCAGTGCACATATGTGCTGGAAGTTGTGTGGGAGGTTGCTTCCAATCTGTTTTGCCATTCCTGGCTATTCCAGCAATCTCTGCACCGTCTGTTTTCCAAGATGCGCTGAACCTGACACGTTCCAGGAAGAAGCATCTAAATGAAAGACTGTCTTCCAGCACTTGGAACAAAGCTGGCTTTTTGCCATCCTCTAGACATAACCATTGAGACTAATAGCCTGCACCACAGATTGCTTCGTGAGATCATAAGAGACAATATGGGGACTATCTTTACTGCCTTTATCTATAGAGTGTGCATTTCCTAGCTTCTAGTCATGACCAGTCCCTTTCTTCACCAGCAGAGCAGTTTTCTTTTTAAGTCCTTGTACTGATAGTTGACTTGAGTTATGGCTCCTTTAAAATAATTCTCCAGGCTCATTATTAAGGAAGTAAAATGGCAAATGAAATGAAAAAGATAAAGTCTGTAGTTATGCCACCTCAAGCTGCAATTCCATCAGACCTTTCACATCAGAAGTCAGGCGGTATTGAAGAGAGGTGACCTTCCAGGCACTTCAGCAGAATGAGGTGTGGCTGATGATGAGATAATCTTATCCCTCTGAATAGTCTGTGGTGGTTCAGCTTGTTTTTAAGGATGCAGTGGGATGGAAACCTTTTTGTTGGTGTATTTTAGGGCCCATAAAATTAGGCACCTGACCTATGAAGACATTTCTTTTTGTCGGGCCAAAATACTGGAATTAAAGTATCAAAGTGCAGTTTGAAATATTTCCCTGAAATGAATATACAAGGTCTACTTTCTCTCCTGAAATAATGGCTATTAAAGTGGCACATCTGTGTCTTACTGTGGCTGTATCTCTTAGAATTTAATGTAAACTGTAATGTGGGATTTTCTGCTTGCATAGGATGTACATATTTTTTGTGACAGGAGCTGTCATTGCTGTCTTGCACAGTCACTTGCACTGCACTATTCTCCTTTGGATGTAAGGTGCTGCCATGAAACAAAGAATAAACAGCAGTTCCTATGAGTCTGGAAGAAGGTGATTGCTGCATCCAACACTGCAGGGGCATCAGGACATTTACCCTAAATCTCATCTGCGTTCATTCAGCAGCTCATTTCTTAGCAAATGTGGTGGTGGCAGTGGTGTTTCCTCCCAAAAGCCCTGGTCTGTTAGGACTTGTGCTTTGATCCATATGTGTCTCTCATTCACTGTCCCCTGAGGTAAAGTTTAATCAAATGCATACACATGAATGAGCTAGCCTAAATATCAATAAATGTTTCTTTCAGGAAAGGCTTGAGATATTTAATATTTAATAAGCTTTGAAAATGAACTTCTGTTCGTGTTTCTCAGTTTGATTCCAAGCATTTTGGCGGTGAGCCGTGCTTGCTGTCCCAGTGTGGGCAGGCACAGCACACATTATTTAGCAATCCACTTTGTCTCATCTAAAAAATTCATGCTTTCAGATACCCAAATGTAGCTTTTAGGGGGAAAAAAAACAACAAAAAAACCGCACACAGACACAAAAACAAATGATGCAGTCCCATAGTTACCTTCAGTCTTTGCTTTAGGCTACATGCCACAGTTATGCTGTTTCTCACCCAGCTCTACACTGTTGCCCTGGTTACTGATCAAAACCAGACCATTCCTGCCATCCCCGCAGCAGGACTTGCACAACACATTACCCGTGTGTCAGCAATGCTGCTGAAGCCGCTCCTCCCTTAAAACAGAAACACAGCCACCAACACACGCAGGAGCTTTCCCTTCTCTGAGTATGCAGTTATAGCAATTGCCCTTAGCCTTAAAATCAGCAAGTGCTGGCCAGGCAAGATCAGATCGATACATAATTAGATTACTGTTTTTACATTAAAGCACTAGCCTTCTTGGAAGACTTCAAAACCTTAATCACATCTGTGGAACTGCAGGTAGATTTGGAGGTTTATAACCCCCATTTACTTGTGTCTTGTTTTCCATTGAAATCAAGGGAATCCTGACTAAAGAGGCAGTTAAGATTTTTTCATGTGACTGACTGACAGCTGTGATGTATGTGTAAATGTGATGTATTAGGTTTTCTGTTATTCACTGCTAGAAATGAACTCAGGGGTGGGTGACAATTTCTCATCTGACAGTACTAAGAAGACACATCATTGAAAAGGGAGATTCCCCTGTATTCTCAGATAACTTACTTTGAGAGCTTCATTTCAATTTGCTGCCGGATTTCCTGTCTTTCCTCATCTGTCCTCCTTGGGAAAATATTCCTGTCTTCCAGCTCCTGTTTGCTTGGTCTGTTTCGTAGTTTTACTGCCAGCAGTTCTTTCTTACATTTTCTTGGCAAAGTACCTGGGATACAGATTGTAAAGAAAGACATTAGAAAGACAGTTCCTGGAGATGAAAAATGAGCATGTAAAGAGTGGGAAACTATGCAGAGAGACAGTGACTCGTATGTTAGTGTGCAGTGAGCAGTAACACACACTAAGCAGTGATACAATTGTGCTTGTGATTAGGGCTCTGACAATAAACTGCTTACAAATGCAGAAGGGTTGTAGTCCTCTGTTGTCTTTACTGGCCTCCATAAGCAAGCAATGGTTTCAGGAGAAGATTATTTGCAGCTGAGATATGACTCACATCTCTAGTTTAGAAATCAAAGGCTGTGCATCTTGTCTCAGACCTCTGAGCATCCCTATAGCTGAGAGCAATCCCTGTTCCCTGAATCTTTTAGTGGTTCCTTTGCAGAAAGATGGGATGGCTCAGGGACAGGTGGCCAGAATATATGCATCTTCCCCTCTAGGTGACCAGGCATAAACAGCAATAGAAAACGGTCATTTTTCATTTTACATATAATTATGGTTTTTTAATGTCATCGTTCTTTCAGACATAGAAAATCAAAACTGTGAGCAGACACTAACACTATGTATAGCACTGCATGTAAGCCATTACATGTATCTGCATCCTTCCTATCCAAGGTGACAATGTGTCATAACAGAATTTCAAATCAATACTATACTCTTCACTTTAGGCTTTTTCTTCTGAAAAGAGCAGGGGAAAATATTCCAAAGAATGAAAGAAAATAAAATTTTATGGCATTTTTCAGAATGTTGGCAAGTTAATTGGACAACTGGGCAACACGGGGTATAGATACTTATTGTGATTGCATGACCTGTTCTGCTTACTGTAAAATGTGCTAACACGTGTTTTCTATCAAAAAAAGATGATCTAAAACACTGCCATTACAAAACAGCTCTTCAAGGAGGATGTGCAGAACCTGTTTTCATGAGTTTACTGCTCTTGATGTGCAGAATGTTGGGTCCTTGATGCTGTTCTGCTGGTGATATTTGAAGCATTCTGTCACTGGAGGGAATTGTCTGAGCTTTGGTGTATCTATCCATTGTTGGAGCTCTTCAGGCTTACGCAGGCTAAGCAAGTGAAAACTTGCTTATAAAAGACCACTGAGCTTATAAAACCATTTTGCTGTGTGTTTGGAAAGGTATACCACAAAATGACTGTAAACTTTAACTGCTTACAAAAAAAATCAGTTTTCGTTCTCAGATGCAGATTAGAAACCTGAAGTCTCTATCTGCTGAGCAGTGGATTGCTTATGGTGTGCAGAGAGGAAAAGGGAAGTGCTATTAAAGCTCAGTGAGCTGCTGAGTCACCCTGGAAGGACTGCAGTCTTCCAGTAATTAATTACAGGTATATTGCAGCAAGTAAATTTACACCAGAGTCCTATTTGCCTTTGCAGTGCTCTCCTGGCCATTCTATGGTCCAGTCCAGGACTTCAGCAGTCAGAAAATTCTCAGTGCAGAGTAGCACCAGTCAGATGGATGTTGTCAGAGTACTCAGGAGCTGCAGTTAAACCTTCAATCTCCCTGACCTTGGGAGCATGGTGTGTAATAGCTGTTTTTTGGTTTGGTTCCTTTTTACTTTAACAGTGGTTGTGTTTTGTGGCCCTTTAAAAAAAAAAAATAAAATGTTTCACCTTTTCTAAGAAAGGTCATCTCACTTATAAAGAAAATGACATTTAATTGGTATTTTTATTTGGCATTTGAGATAGGATTAAAGTCTGCTTTAAAAGGGATGCTCTGGAGGATGGCAAGATACTAAATCCTAAATATATTCTCATTTTCAAATATTGGCAGTTTATTTGCTCAAAATCTGGGGGACTACATTATTATTATCACTATTGCTTGAATTTCTTCATGCAGGGAGGAAAAATCTATAGCACATCCACACATGCATCTTGGGAAGATAGGGCAGAGAGTGGGTATGGAATCCCTATAAGAAGGGGCAAGTCTCTAAATAGTTGCAATGGCCTAAAATTAATGAGCTCAAAACCCTGATTGGAATCTGAAAGCTGTGCCCTTGTTTAGCACCTTCCTCTTAATGCTTTCAAAGTCTGTTGCAAACATTAATTAAATTAAACCATGCAGCCCTCTGTGAAGAATTAGGTATATGTTTAACAGATGGGTAAAAGAAGTTAAATTATTTGGCTGCTGCACACAGAGCATTCTGCTAAATGAGTATGTCTCCATCACAAACACTTGGATCACTAAGCCACAGGCTTGGGACTCAGTCAAGCTTTTTTAAGCCTTCACCTCAGTGGGAGTAGTGAAAAATGGGTGTTAACAGTGCTCAATCCAAGCAACTGAAGGAACAGTTTCCCATTTATCCCTGAACACGCTCTCATTTTCACTTGAAAGTTTTAAACAGGCACTAAGGGGAATTTGGTCATGCCAGGAGATTGCTGCAGAGATACTGTACGTCACTGAGACCAATGTCTCTTGAACACGATAGACATGCTGCCCATGTGCCAGCCATCTGTGTGGTGGATTTACAGGCAGTTCAGTGCATCTTGGGTGCACCAAAAGCAAGATATGTATACACCATGCAGCACATGTGAATTTCTCTGTCCAGAACTCCTTAGAAAGAAACAAGGGAGCTCTACATGTGCACGCAACACTTTTTCTATATTTTTTAAAAATTGTAGACGTGTGCTCTAAATGGTTATTCTCCCATTTATCAGTGACAGCGGAGGTATAAGCATGCAGAACTATTCCTGCTCTCATCAGGATGTTCTAAAACTACCTGCTATGTCATGCTATATCTCATGTTTGGATTATGGGAAAACAAGAGGTAGAACTGCAGTGATTATTTGCTCAAAGTCAGGGTTGTTTTCTGCTGTCCTCACCCATTTGAAAGTCAGCTGAAACTTAAGCTGTGCAGGTGAAAGACTGCATGCACCTTTTTGCAAGAACTCAGTTTTTGAAGCTGAAGTAAAGACACTGGATTAAGCTATCTCAGTATGTTCCCTAGAAGCTTGTACTTCAAAGTGAGATGGAACAATGCAATATGTTGTTTGAGACAAAGTAAAATGTAGCTGCTCTTCCGAGCTCTGACTACTCCTGGACTTCTCTTCTGCAGACTTCAAAAGTCTCCTACTTTGTGAAATTAAAAACACAAATCATAACTGAAAAATCTCAACTTTAACCCAAATCCTGCTGCAGTATTAAAGGAGTAGAGAGCATACAACCCACACAGGATAAGCTGTGCTCACTTCATCCAGATGTTAGGATTTATAAAAGGCTTATGCTATAGCCACTCCCATGGTCCATATGCACTATGCGCTCATTAATCTTTAGGGTATTTTACCAAATAAAAATGCAAGAGAGCTGGATTAAGCTGATCTGATAGTCCAAAGAGCAGCTTCCCATGCCTGACCAATTGGGTTAATTCCTGAAAAATAATACCTGCCAGACAAAATGAAAGGAGGGAGATGGTGTTACCCCCTGCAGGTACACCAGCAGGGTCTGTTCTCACCTTGGCTGGTCCACTGGTGGCCAGTTCTATTATTTCACCTCCTGCAGAAATCCATTTATGATGCTTCAGAATTGAACCAAATAAACCAAATCAAACAAACAAATAATAATAAAAAAAAAAAAAGGGGGGGGGGGAGAGAACAAAGAAAACAAAGCCCCAGACTAGCTTTCCCCATGTCCATTGTCAACACCTTGAGACAAAACCCTTCCCTATCACTATCTCAGTGGAAATTGAACATGCAAATACCTTCATCTAAGTATTTTCTTCCTAAGGATTAATTTTTTCCTTGCCAGTGCGATGTGTTCAATGCCAGTGTGTCCCATGACCAAGGCCGAATCTTGCTTATGCCTTGTTTCACAATTTATGGCAGCTCAGCTAGGTCAACAATAAATGTTTTGAGAGCTCATACCTTTTTCATGCTTGGTCTCTGCAGGTTCCTGACAAAAGTTCCTGTTTTAACTCAGTTGAATCCTGACATTTATTTTCTTGTATGTTTACTGTTCGTTCTACCAAGCAAAAGGCAAATCCAAATACTGCACACTAACGCAAAGATTTTGCTTGCATCTGTTATCAGTTCAAGGCTACATGCAGGGTGGCAATGACTAATTTGGTGATGTGAAAACACAGTACAGTAATCATAAATTAATTCTGGATTAATTGATAATTTATATCCTGATTTTCAAACCAGCCCAGATTTTTAAAACTAGAAAGAACCTTTACTTTTAGTAAATTATTCTGGTGTTATTCCTGCCACTTCTCCATCTCATTTCTCTCTAAAATGCAAATAGATGCATTTGAATGCATGCTGACAGAAGCAGTGCCATTCAGAGTCAAGACCAGAAATGCCTTGCTTACATTCCAGCACGCACCATATGAATGGGCAGCATCATATCTCTGCAGCTGCTTTCTTCTGGGTCACATAACCACCCCATGGTAGGAATTCACAGTTTAAGCCACTGTGTTGCCTAGCTTGCCAAGTATTCATCCATTGCAGCCGCCTCAGACACTTTGCAACTGGAACCCTGTATGGTTTGGATTTATGTTACAACTTTGGATTTGTGTTGTGCCACCACACAGAATAATTTATACTACTCAGTATTTTCTGTTGTTTTATAGAACATTACATTAGGCATCAATATATATCAATATAATATAATAGGTGACTTTGCTTACCAGAAATAATGGAGTCATTCAAAACTTCCTCATCCTGATAAAAAACGGAGTCTTCCTTAAGCTCTGAGTTCATTATCATGTTTTCTTTGTTCTCATCCGACTCTTTAACTGAATTCCTCTTATTTTCTGAATCGCTGCTGTAATTCAGGGAATTCTCCTTTTCTTTGTTGCGCTCAATGCTGGACGTTCTGGATGGACGGACATCCACTCTTTTTTTTGGAGAGCCTTTGCTTTCTCTTCCATGGAAGCTGTGGGTGGAAGGTCAAGCCCAGTTTTTACAAAACACTTGTGTTTTAGTGCCACAGTAGGAACTTATTACTTGTATGAAAATGACTAGCATGGCCTGTAGCTCATAAAAGCCAGGACAGAGAGTTCAGTATGGGAAAACAGGGGATGGCATCCTCAAGATTGCTGACAATAATGAGCATAGAGATCTAGGTTTGTCATAAGAATAAGATACAGAAGGATAATAATAAGGTACAGAGACTGATGTACTTGTTTGATATATAACCACGTGCTCTGCTGTACTGATTAAAGGAAAACACACGAGTGCATACCCCTAACATAAAACACACATGACATGAAGTATTCTCATTCTGATATTTTATGATCATGACAGAGGGCATGGAAATAATACTGAATGAATCTCTTCTCCATAACAGTAGCTGTTATGGAGCTGAGAAATGTTACAAACTTCACTGGTTATCTCTGTCTGTCTCTAATACAGAGGAGGGTTCATAATGAAAACCAGATAAAGTACCCAAAATACTGCCACAAAAGCATTTGCATTAGAAAATGTATGCTCTATATGCTCATGTTTAAGCCAAGAGACAGATTCTGAAATAGTAACATTTCTCAGATATACTCGTATTTACAGGACAATTTGCCTTAGTTACTCTACCTTGATATGTTTGGAGGAGAGTTTTGCAGTGGACCAAAGATTATTAACTGTTTCTAGCCACTTGAAAACCTACCATGCTCAAAGCAGCGACCTCAAGAAGATGAAGGCGAGCTGTAGGAGTGGTTAAAATGCTAAAAAAAACAGGATAAGGGCATTTACCAAGAAAAATGATTTAGTGGAATGACTCCTCATGCACCCATGTAGCCAAGAGGCTGCAGGTACCTGTCCTGCCGGTGTTTGGTGGCCAGAGCCCTGTGGAGTTCTTCAATGACTCTGCTGGGAGGTAAAGGCAGGTGGACAGCAGCCAGGTGAGGGGAGCCAGTCGGCGTTGTTACCTGTCCTCTGACGTGAGACTCGGAGCTTTTCTGGCCAGAGGAATGGAAGAGGGCAGCTTGTCCTGAGATTTGAGAGGAGCCAACAACTACATAATTCTTCAGGATAGTGGAAGGAGGAGACTTCATGGCTGGGTCATCTGTGTCGCTTCCTGCTGTCAAAATACAGGAGGGTAAAAGGTCATGCAATACTTGGATACTTGGATTTTTGTGCCTAGAGCCTGCACTGAAATTGATTTGATAGAAGAAAATAGTGATGTTTGGTTCTTGCTAAGAGGTAAAACTGGTTAAGCTGAGTAGCCATCTGAATTCAAAAGGCTCATACTATGCAGGTCTGCATCTTTGATGTAGAAAAACAGATGCTTCCCCCATATCCCTTTTCTCCCACACAGTCATATTCTCCTTTTCCCAGCCTATCAGTTCAATCTTGATGGTCAGTGCTGTTCTTCCTAGCTACTGATGTCCCATACTGTGGTGGCTTTCCATTCTAGCACTTTCTCTGCTGGACTCTGGCAGATTGTATTAAAATTTATGCACTGTGCTTGACAGTCAGGACAAAATGTACCAGTGTCTATTGTCTGCTCTTCTGTGATGACTGCACTGATCAGACCCCTGTCTTTCATATGCCAATTGAGGCAATGCCAAAATTATTGTAATATAACATTCACATAACAAAACTTGCCAAATGAAATCCAAATGAAAGATGTGGTATTGAGCACCAAGAACAGAAAAAGAAGAAAAGGATAAACTAACATGTTTTTATTTGTTTGTTTGTTTTACGTCTCAATTCAGATTTTTTTTATCCAGTACTGGAAGCTAGATTTTGATGCATAAATTCTCTAGCACCTGAGTCCAAAACATAGCAGATATTTCCTTAGTTGTAAATTTAGTAGTTTTGCATTCTTAAGATATTCGAACACTTGGGCTGAAAAGATGCTGATTAGATTTCTGTTTTGCAGTTCTCTTTTCCTTTCTCTTTTTTCCACATATCTCAGTCCCAAACTTCTTGGCATATGGTGGTAGTTATTGCAACAGTTCAGTCTGGTTGCAAAAAGGCAACTTGACATCTTCATGCAAAAGGATTTTGCTTTTCTCTTATTGCCATCTAGTGTTGTAGACAGGAATTTAAACTGACACAGCTTATACAAGTATTGCACAATTTTATTTTCACAGAACATGTTTACTGAGAGCAGAATTAATGAGGGCAACAGTAAAACCACTTTGGGTTGGGAAGGAGAACTCCTGTATCCACAACCAAATTCAAACATCAACTTTGAGAGTGCAGCAGCACTAAGCCCAGTCTCTCTTTCACATTTAAAGGGTAGACAGGAGAGCCTCCACAGCAAGGAGATTTTACCATTGATGCCAATCTGCTTTCATATTCTAAGAGAGGTCTAAATCATTTCTTTATTTTAAGAAGGCATTTTTGCACATTTCTCTCCATCTGACCCAGAACCCTTATCAGTGCCCAGGGTTGTTGAATCTCTCTCTTTATATCTCCAGGAGGCAGAGTTTAAGCTGGTCTAAAAACTACACTATCAAAAATCTGAAAATGTTGAAAGCACAGGAGCATTTCTTCAAGTCTCTTGGCGTCCAATGTGCAGAGCCTTGGCAATGAGGTACCTTCCCAGCCCGGAACTGATCAAGACATTCTGCACCCAGGAGACAGCCACCTTCTGCTAAGCAGAGATGTTTGCTCGGCATTCGAGTCGCAATTCTGATTATGTGCTCCTGTGGAAACACCTCTTAATTCACTTTCCACCTCTGCACAATGGGAGAGGGTTGCTGTGTTTTCTCAGAGCTAGAAACCTGTGTTCAACTCAATCCCAAAACAGGAAGAGAGGACACTTTGCTTTATCTTCATATTTGCTTGTTTCTGAAATGGGCCAGCAGCCAATTTTGTCCTCACTGCAGCTTGGGCCAATATTGTGTTTCCTTAAATCACACCTTATTCAATCTAATAACAGCTGTTCAGTGAATAATCTTGCAAAGTGATGTCTTGGCAGCTTGCCCTGTTCCCCCTCTCTCTGTGATTAATTGGTGCTTGGCTCATTCCTCACTCCTTTGCTAACAACATCTCTAGCATTGTTAAATGGGAAAAAAAAACAAACACAAAAGAGCTTTTCAACCTCTTTGTTCCTTTTCTTTTTTTAATAGTTCTTTGTTTCTCTCCATACATTTGTATCCCCTTTCACTCACTCACAGTATTTGTTTAGTTTTAACTTGCCACTGCCTCCACTTCCAAACCAAAATAAACAAATGTATAATCACCATTGGATAAAGGTCCGTAGTTACTGCAGTCATTGAGAAAACCAAGAGTTGTTCTTTGTGGAATATTTAGGTGAAAATTAAGTGGCAGAACTCAAAATATCCCAGATGCTAGGTTAAACAGCAAAATATCTGAACTTAAAGTGCTGTTAAGTGTATAGTGGATCCATAATTTTGTTACTCTCTACAAGTTAGGTTTTCCAAATGGCCTAAATCCAACACTGAACATCTCTCTTATCAGTTGAGCAATGACAAAGGGGAGTCCTGATTTGTTTAGTTTATGTTGCAAGACAGAAGAGGAAAGCTAGAGCTTGACCCATGGCAGAGAATGGTGAGAGAATCTGAACAATAGCTCCAAGAAGCATTATGATACCATCCTGAATCTAGGTCACACTTAAACTCTTATGGCCTTCAGATGTGGACGAAATATGAATATTTTTCATTGGAAACAAATACTTGTGATTTTACTCAAAAAGACAGAAAACCCCAGTGTTTTCTGTGACTTCCAGTAGTGTGATCAGTGTCTCTCTGATATTTTGTTTCCTGGTGACTTTGAAAACCCTGTTCTTTGTGCCGGTGGGGATGCAAATCAGGGCTGAGATAATGGCTGTCATTTAAAAGTCTAAATACACAACAGGTCTGGCATTTAGATGTCAAGACTTGATTCTAATTTGCAGTAAGGACCTTTAAACTGCCTTTACCATATGCAGGGGCCCTAAAATTGGAAGAAACTAAAATCATATTCACTTTAACACCCTTCTGTAGTGCCAGAATGTTGGAAAATGTAGTAACATTGGCAATACATTAGAAAATCAGGCCTAGAGGAACTGCTGTTGAAACATTCACTGAAGTCTGGCATGGAGTATTGCGTTGTGGGAGCCAGGTATATCACTTATGTGCATTCTGTGTAATTAGACCAGATTTCATAGCTCTAGTTTAGAACTACCCTAGAGAGCATAACCTTAAGACAGAAACCTCTACAAAGCCTACTGTTCTACTGTTATCCAGCAGGATTCTAGGTTAAAAATAAAAATTAGAATCTTCCTCATGTTTTATATCAATATGAGCATCTGATTCAGCAGATGACTGCGGTTGGTTTGATTTGTTTTACATGTGTTTAGTGCAAAACAAATAATCCCCAGATATATATATGTAAAGTACAAAGATCAGTGTGTTTTTATCTGGCATCCAGATCACTCAGTTCAAGGAATTCATTAGCATTCTATTAATTCACTGTAACTAGCCTGATTCACAGTAGCTTGCAAACACAAGCCTTGCAAATGGCTATAAGAAAAAAATTGTACCATGTTAGTGAACAGTGTATAAGAGATTGGGAAAGTCTGTACTGACTGGCAATGACTGACCTGTTACACTCTTTGTGATTTTGGAGATTGCCTTAGGTGGTGGAGCAGGGAGCAATGGAGGGCTGGGAAGCTGTGCTGGATTTCCTTCTGTCAGTTTCTGGGGAGAATCTGTGGATTCAGGTACAAGTAAGGCTTGTGGACTGTCTTCAGATGCTGGCAGACTGGCATCTTCCAATTCTTCCTTGGGTGCTGAAGGTTTCTTGGCTAGTAAGAAGATGAGTAAAATTAATGGAAAATGAAGTTATTAATACTGATCAGCCAGGAGACAATGCCAGGAACATTCAGAAGAACAGAACACATGGTACTCAGCTAGAAGCACTTCTTTACTGTGCCAAAAAAAATTGTTATGTGAAATAGCCAAACAGCTGAGGCAGGTAAAGAATAAAATGTATGAGGATATTGAAGAAATGTTAGTTTTTATGCTCCTGAGAAAAACTTGTGAGCCTCCCTTACTTCTCATTCCTTCCCTAACGCCATTTTTCCTTTTCTCTTGCTAATAACAAAGACAGCAAGGTAAAGCAACTTTTGAGAACTGCAATGGATTTTCTTACAGCAGTGCAGCTGCATGTTGTGGTGTTACTGGGTGACTACTTGTCTGGGCTAAGAACGTACCAGCCAAGGGCAAAGAGTAAACTTGTAATATTGCATGAAAGCTTGTTTTCCAGTTGTTCACAATATATTTTTTTCTTGATTAATACATTACATCAGCTTGTATCTTGCCATCTCTTACTGTACCTGACTCCAGAACTGATGAGTTTTTCTTGAAGATAAAGTTGGCAACCAAGAAAAGTCTGTCATAAAAAAAGATTTACCAGAGGATCTCAGCAACTAGCATAGAACACAGAACGGATGAAGTATTAAAAAGATGCAGTCACCAAAGCCATAATTTGAGATGGTGAAACCACACTCATTTCAGGATTGACCCCTGAAAGATGGCAAAAGCACACAGGGCAAAAGTAGCTTTTCAAGTTAGTACAGGCTAAATGACTGAGCAGTTTGTTAAATTGGCCTGTCTGTGATAAGGGCACAGGGAAATAGATCCCGAAAGGCATGAAACTGAAGGAGGACGTAGGTGAAATTTCAGTGATTAAGTCTAAAATTAATATCTGATTCTGGCAGTGCTTAGACTTGTGCAATGATCTTTGTATTGGCATACATGGGGATCCACAGGCTTGAGCACATTGGGCAGGTCCCTTCCAAATGATGCATCCAGACACCATGGGCTCAGTAGTAGCCATAAAGGTTGTTTGTCCCATCCCAGCAGGTAGAGGAGTGATCCAAATGGGGAGATACGAGTTTCCTCTTAGCGTGAGAGCTGTCCAAACTGTTTGGGCTGGAGAAATGGTAAATCCCCAACTTTTAGCAGTCTGGATTGTCTAAACAAAGTACATTTGCCTCCAAAGAATTCTAGACCATCTCCTAAAAACCCAGAGAAGTGAGTACTCACAGCTGTCACATCACAAACCTTTTCTTGGCTTGCTTTTTATGCCTTATTTGGAATACAAGCTCATACTCTCTCTCAGCATCCTGGTATTCAGAGTGCATGGGGAAGCACCAGAACAGTTGGAAACAATAGCACTGGCAAGATAATAGCAATTAATTTGTTGACTAACAGATGAATAAGTGTGCCTAGAAGAGGAGGAATGAATATTTGTCATTCAAGAATGACAGGAAATTAGAATAAATACACAAATTTGGCTTGATAGGAAAGTCTCCTTATGTGATAGTTACCAAAATAACTAAATAATTTCCTTTTAAATATATATTTATAGGGAAATGCTTTGTTCTAGGCTGACGTTGGTTTGTATTTTTGTGCCTACAAGCCTAGAAGAGAAGACATGAAATAGGAAAGAAAAACTGAGGAAGAAAGATGTTAGTGGCTTGCCAAGGAAATCAGTCATATTTGGATGCTTTTCCTTGAGTTGAACGGTACTTTCTTCTGGCAGTAATTTCACACCCTGTGATAGGAAAGGATGCTCAGTGCAAGTGCAGCCATGGTGGGACTATGCATGTAGGGAAGGTGGACCTGAAAAATGCTCAGTCTGAGTCTGAAGGCAGACCTGAGTCTTGAGCACACAAACCTGTTAACAGATTTCATACTGCAGAGTGAACATTTCCTGCTGAAAACAGTCCAAGGGCTCAAGACCAGACTCCTTGGCAGAGTAAATAATTACTTACGGAGAGCCACTGGTCAAAATGCCACCTTGCTACTAGTAGAAATCTTTCCCTTCAGATTGTCCCCACATCCACTGGCTGGGTTACGTGGGCAAAGCTGCCCTTCTTCTGCCTAGGGAGTTCATTTTCTGTGTATTAAACAAACATGAGCTCTGGAAGTGTTTCCTCATTGTCCTGTCCTTGACCTTCATTCCATAACCTGAGGATGAAAAGCTGTCTATCAGGAAGTCAATGGAACACCCTGCAACTCTCCCTGGCCACTCTGGTCCCGTTTGCCAGAGCACAGTTCTGTGAGAAGGACTTGGTTTAACTTATCTGTACTCACAGCATTGAACTGCACTTCTTTTTGCAGGGTGATGATGTAGATAGAAGTTGTGCATTGAATATTGTTCCTCAAGCCAGGACAGACAACTTCAGCCTTGGCAGTGAAATTTGAGAAATTTTTTTTGAGAGGAACTTATTTCATCTTCACAGCAGTCACTGCTAATTCCAAAAGAGCACCATGCCAAGACTGGATTGTCTCATAATCCAACTAATCTCATTATGTGAAGATTTGTGTGGTCCCTCAGTTTGGTAGCAGTCTCAAAATCACTGTTATAAAAAATAACGAGTGCTAACTCAGTATGTGGATGCTGAGCTGAATGAGGTGTCCTGGCTGTCCACCTCACCAACATATTTGACTCCTCATGCAGCTGCTGAGCAGAAATATCTTTTAAAGTCTTATTATATTTTGAAACATTTTTAAGCAATACCTGCATCTTCTTTCAGTTCATCCAAATGCAGCTCTTCACTAAGTGAGGTTACATTTGTTGTGGCTGCTGTTGTACTCTCCTGCTGCATGTCTTCAGAATCGAGTGCCTGGCACACGGGCACACAAGCTGGAGTGTCACTCTGTGTTGCTCTTGTGGCATCGTCACCAGTGCAGGCTTTTCCTTCAGTATCTACAACACCAAATCATTTATTCTTAATTAAACAATAAGCAGTGAAAGCTGAACCTCCCTGCTATCCTCTCTAGAAGAGTGAGCCTCAAAGCTGTAGTAATTTCAAAGTAGTCAGGGTCTGAGGTTTCTCTTAGAGAAGCACCTGATTTCTAAAAGTGCCGAGCATCTGTAATGTAAAACTCATGGACACCGGCCCATCTGAACAATAACATCCACCCAATTTTCTAGACAAGACATCTTTTTCTGTGGGTGTCCAGCAACCTGGTTAATTAGGCATTGTGCATACACAGAGATACCACTGTGCTCTGGAAGCACCTGCCGTGTGCATGACGGCATGGGAGATCAAAGAGCTCTGGACGGAGGCAATTCCTTCTCTGAGCAGAGCTCACAGTGTAGCATGAGCACAGGTTGCTGTGACATGTCAGGGTCATGCCAGGCTCCATGTGCAGGACACTGCTGTCCAACTGCCCAGCAGCAATGCTGGCAGGACTGCTAGTATTCTCTACCCAGCTGTAGATTTTGGGCACAGCATTGGTTACTCAGCTTCAAAAAGCATGTCTTGTATAATTGAGCTGATCAGGTATTCAAATCCCTCCTCATGCAGACCTAGAAACTGCTCTCTTTGCTTACTCTGAAAGATTTCTGTGCCAGTGATCCCTGCAGCTGTATGCATCTTGATGACTGAAGCTTTTCTTGTATCCCCCTATTCAAGCAAGATTCCTCAGAATACAAACTATCCTTTTACTGCCCAACTCTCTCAGAAATTTACAAGATCAACATTATCATTGCAAAGCAAAGCAATTACTTCCCACTCTTGCCATCTGTCCATGCTGATGGACAGCCTGCTGTCCACCCCAACTTCCAACTTGTATTTCTTAGCCCTGGACCCTCCTGACAGGGCTATGTTTCCTTGCAATGAAATCATGACAAGTTTCTTCAACGTTGATTTAAAACCAGCTAGCACTCATAACTATCCCTTTTTAATACAATTTGGACAATCTGCAGAGTAATTTATTGCCCTTTTGGGTAAGGGTATCTCTTTGGCCCAGAGATGCTGCGGAACGGATGCAGTATTTTTGTACACTGAGCTCAGTCTGCCTCATAATCACGTTTGGTGAAAAGTTACTGTTCTTAAAATAGTCCCTGCAGTAGCACAGTTGCTATGATACAGGGAAGGGGAGGGGGAAAAAGTTCATTGCCTACATTTCAGCTCATTGTGAAGGCAGCCTATACATAATCATTGGTGTATTAACAGCTGCCTCTGTTACTTGACAGGCAGCCCTTACCTCCCATTGCTGTAAGCACAGCTACACCTGGTTCGTTTTGTGCTCACAAAGGGGAGAAATACTGGGGGAAGTTCCCTCAGTGTTTTCAAGGTAACTCTGCTTCACACATTTCTCACATCCTTCAGAAAGGCAGGCTGCTGACAGCTGTGCCACAATAGAGCTGCAGACAGAGACATGAGCTCCTTCAGATCCTGGCCGATGAGAGTGTAATGACTAACGGAGTACTGACAAGGAGACAGCCTTGCTGAAGAATTTCTATTGAGGAACATCTGAGACTCAGAGCAGTGATGTTCCTTAGAAATGAGCAGCTTGTGCATAGAGCAAAGTGGACATTCTGCTTTGATTGGCAGTGGTTCCCAACACCGGGTTTTAGAGGAAGACTGAGGATGGGAGAAAGCACGGGTCCTGGTACAAAAAGCAGCAGTCTTGGGAATTGCAAAAAGGAAGAATCAGGGCTGTGATTTATCTGGGAAAGAATCCGACTACACAGTCAGATCTGCACCCTGTAAGCTAAAGTGAAGCTGTATGGCAGGTTCAGGAGGTTGCAAGGGCAAATTGGTATTTGCCATGGATGAGCAGAGTGGCATGTATGAACCACAAATTTGGATGTGCAGCATGGCTGGGCAGCTGTGTTTTGGGGTTGCGTGAGGAGACAGAGTGACATAACCTGTTAGGATGACTCATCCCCAAAGCAAGGATGGCACAACTTCACCCTGGGCTGCTCGCAGATTGATGCAGAGTCTGTGCTAGCTCAGTGGCTTGCTCTGAGCCAGCAGTATGGTTTAAAATGCTGCCTGACAAACCTTGTGCTGTGAAGCTGGAGTGTGACATTGTAAATGCATGAAGCAGATCTACAGATTTCTCAGACTAGAGCTTCATCATGGTTCGGACTGTTTATGAAAGTGAACAGGAATCATGTATCTAGAAGTAGAGTAGATAGAGGGATTTAAGGATTTACAGCAGTCTTTTTAGCATAGTATTGCTGCTCTGACAATTGCAACTTACTGCATAAATGAGGACTTAGCCTTGAAACTGCTGCCACTTCAGCTCAGTCCAAGTAGGGCACTAATCATTTACTGAGAATTATTTGGGTCAATTTTTGATACCAGTTAATAAGCTGCTTCTGCTGATAATATAATAAAATAACCCAGGAGATTTACAGCACTTTGTGTAAAGAAAAATAACTCGGAGGCAGCTGCAGTGTCCTTCAGCTGACTGTTAGCTGCTCTTCCTTTCTGGGCACAGGGTGGTACTGTAAGCTGGTTTGGTGTTTACAGGAGCTCTGTGCTTTGCTGTTTTATTTACTGCTGTTTTGCAATGCTCAGATATCCATGATTTCAAATTTGTAGGTTATGGGGAAATTCAATACTCCCAGCAGATACGGGGTGTATTTTTTTCTATCAGGTGGTGCTGATATGCTGATAGGACAACTAGTTTTCTAGAATGAGAGACAGAAAGAGCTCGATGGACAGGCATTAAAAATGTGCCTTCTAAAAAGTGCCCCTTTTAGAATAAGCTGATGGTTTGATAGGTATTGTAACTTGAACATATTAATCCATATTAAAATAAATCCAATAAAATAATATGATAATTGCTTTAATGCAGTGAAAAAAAAATCCTGTTTAAAATACTCTTTTTTTTCTGACTCTTCTGTTGCTCGGTTACACGCCAGCATAGCATCACTGAGTACTGTCCCACAGGCTATTTATAGCCACAGCATTTGTTTTATACAATGGAACTCAATTATTACTTTCAAAGAACATCATTCCTATCTACCAGATTGGTCAAACTCAAAAGGCTGATCTTTCCTCAGTACAATGCTTTCTGCTATTAAGTTTTCAAAGCAAAGAGGATTTTTTTTTTTTAAATCTATGTTTACATGGAAAGGGCAATTGGGATGCTGTCCAAAAACACAGGGAGCTCACTTGGTCTTCCAGAATAGTCACCCAGGTAGCCACCCAGATCCCTTAACCATCTGTTAGGGCTTGGAAACAGTGATACACAGAACCACAGTCCTTTGTGCATTTCTTTCATTCAGTGACCAATACTGAATCTGGTTTGTTCTTGGGATGGCTTTAAAATGACACTACTATCAAATGCTTCACTTTTGCACGTGAATGGAAAACCAGAAAGGCAGCTGAAAAACATCACATTAGTATCATTTTATGAGACTGGGAGTCATGGGCTGTACTTTTAAGCTTCCCTACTGAATGCATCTGTTATGTTTCAGTTTGTATTTGCACCAGTTGTAGCTGACTTTCTTGGCAGTTGGATTTAGCTGGGTTTAGAGCAATAGCATAAAATACATCTACCAGCTCAGACTCACAACATGAATAAATCCAGGCAAGCTGAAATTGCATCCAAGGTGGAAAAAACATCAAAAAATTAAACTGTATGGGCTGCTTGGAACAGGGAGGAATTAAAAAAAATATATACAAAAACTAACAGCCTAATACTGATTTTTTTTTTCTATCTTCTTGTACTTAAGGTTTTCTTTTTATATGCTTGATTGTTAGCTTTCTTCTTTTGCTTGTTTCCTATTGTACGGAAAAAAGATTTTGATCAAAAAAGAATTTTTACTTACCCTGTTCCATCATTTCCAGAAGGCCTTTCTTAATGAGTTCATCCCGACCTTGTCGTGCTGTCATCTTCTTCTCCAGCACTGCAAGAAGTAGTAGCATGATACAGCACCAGTTTACAGTGGAGTATTCCATAACTGACTGAGAGAGCTGCAATGAGGAATTTCTCTCTAGTCTCAAGTGCTGTATGCTTGGAAAGAAATGCAAGGAATTTTGGTGGAACTTGGACCAGTCAGCCAATTTTGTACTTTTTCCCTTGTAAAACAGTAAAATCAACCACACGGAGTTGAAATTTATGATCTAAGATGCTGCTGATCACCATGATAGCAGAATAACAGTGGTATTAGAGCCCTCGTGCTGTTTGATGCGGTGTATTGGAGCTGTTGCAGGAGGTGGTGTCCCTCACTGTGACACTCCAGAGGGTATCAGAAAAGTGGAGGGAACTGCACCATCTTCTCTGAGGAAAAAACAGGCAAGTTTGTCTCCTTACTCATCTGAGACATCCCTGGTGTGTAGTGAGAGTGTGCAATGCATGTGCTGGGCTACTCTACTGCAGGCAGCTGCTTGAGGGAAGGCATTTTGCATGCTGTAGTTCCCTCCTGTCACTTTTCATGATGTTATTGTGACCTATATAATCTTCACCCCAAACAAAAGGGGCGATGATGCCTGGGGACATAAATGTAGTCTATTTGTGGAAAGGACACTCCATGAAAGCAGTCTATGTGAAGGTTTGTGCTTCACTCATATTTTTAACTTTTCTTCTAAATGTATGACATTGTACTACAGGAAGTCAGCATATATGAGTGTTTTCTAGCTTTAAATGTTATAAATCTATAACATGCTGAAATCTCCAAATTAGGTTTAGGTCAGGTCATCACTAGTGTTACTGTGCAAGCACATTTCTCCCAAGCTAAGCTTTGCTTTGTGCAGTGTCAGACTGTTCTCATCGTACCTGCAGAGGTCTGCTTTAACTTCTCATTTTTCTTTTTCCGCCACTTCCATGGTTTGAAGATCCTGCCCAGTGTTGCCAGTTTGCTGTTTCTCCTCACTGGCGGAGTTCTAATCCCTGAGACCAAGTAGTCAGAACGCACTGCAGGAGACTGCTCCATCTCATCTGAGAAGGGAAATGAGAAAGCCAGCAGTTAGACAAAGTGCTTCAGCACAGACTTAAAAAGGGGAGGTGAATAGAGGTTTCCCAGCTAACAAGTGTTTGGTCTTGTCTGCTGCTTCCTACCAGCATCTTTCCAGGCTGTGGACTTGCACAGTACCTGTCTGGATGCCAAATACTTGAGCATCTCCACTGCTGCCTTCTTTCAGGGATCTATCAAGGCTATTAGGTGCGTGGAGAGGAAGATGTGCTAAATTTGTACAACCTATGCTTTATTCCATCTCTTTCCTGACTTTGATTCAGCAAGGGAATGGTGTTACTCTCCCTCCCAAGGGCTGTGTAACTCTGCGTTACAGCCTTTTGAAACATAGAGAGCTGGGTACTCCCGAGGGCTTTAGCAGCAGAAATTTAACACATATGCAAATTGGGCCCACACAGGCTGCAGTTAATCAAACAAATGTAATGTTCATTTAGAACAATTTAGACCTTTATGAAGAGCTAAAGAGAGTGTGAGAAAGCTCAGGTCCCGTCTGAAAACCGAGCTGCCAGTTCTGCTCTCAGGCCACAGGATATTGCTGTCTTCTACATGAATTCTCTTCACAAAAGCTAACACAGAACACACCGACTTGTATGAGCTAATGCTTTTATATAAGAACAGTTTGTTTGATATATGCTACGTAAATAAAATCTTGAAGCTATTGTGCAAATTTATTCCTTGAGGAAGTTAAAGGGAAATTTCTTCCCCTTTCGTCCTGCCAAGCCACAGGAATTCACACATGACATTTTGGCTGGAAAAGCACTTTAAGTATTTTTAATATTTTGTCTTGAAAATACACTCAGAATTTTTCTGTGTGAAATGATGTAGACTGACAGTTCATAGTCGAGTGCTGGCCCATACCATGAAACAAAGTAGCATGGCTCCATAAATGGGGTTATTGATGGCTTCATTAAGGTTTGTATTTGAGCACCAATATAGTGGTTGTTGAATGAGAAGCTGCCATCAGTTATCAGATGTGGTACATAAATAAAAACTGAATGACAGTTTGTTGTTCAGTAATAACATACGATCTAAATAAGCAACGTGAAGCTATGAACATATGCACATTTCCAAGTAATTTCTCTCTGGAAAAACATTTATTACAAATCGCTTTATGACTGCAAGATAAAAACTATACAGCATCATCTAGGTTTTGTTTTTAAGTTAACGGGGTGAACGTGTTTAAATCACAGCATGGAGGTGGGGATTTCCAAGTAAACAGGAAACAATTTCTGGAAGATTATTAAACCCAGCAGGGGAATGAACACATTCCTCCTCTTCCATTTAATTTTGAAAATACTGGTAATAGAGATGAATCATTCAGTGGAGAAAAATTGAAAACTTGGCCACGTGCACTATCAGAACAAAGAAGAGGCTGTAGAAATTTTTTTGCCCCTCTCACTGAAGGTGTCCTGTGGATCCTCCTTCTGTGCATTTTCTTTATGAGATAAATTTCTTTTATCTCATTCTATAGAGTTTATCTTGGGGTTTTAGTTTAGATTTGGAATTTTTGTTTTTGTGTTTTTGTTTTTTTTTTTTCTGAAAGAATGATGTCCAAGATGACAGTTATGGTTTAGTTTGGAGGTCAATATTAAGAAGCTGAAAACAGAAACCAACACTGAGCCTAGCACAGAGGGAGACCAGTAGCCTACAGACCACAGTGCCAAAAGTTATCACACTTATTTCTAATTGCACGTTCAAAATTGAGAAGTATCATGGAAAAAGCTTTGAAGAAGTAGAGCTGCTGTTCATTACAGAGATGGCAATGAGAATGGAAAATGACAGAGTAGATCTGCTATTAATTTGCTATTATGATTACTTTAAAGCTGTAATAGAAGCCTCAGAAAATAACATTTGGCCATTGCTTGTGACATCCCTTGAGTGGGAAAGGAACTGTTCACAGAATTAGCTCATCTCAGAAGAGCTGTAGATCAGACTAAATCTGATCCTTGTCCTTGGAAGCTTCTGCAGTGGAGCAGGACAGCCTGAGCTCAGCCATCCCTGTCTGTGTTTGTGAGGCTGCAGTGCTTCTTGAACATCTCCTGTCACCCCATGAATTTCTCAAGCACGTGAGTGAAGATTAAATGAAAAGCTCATTTAAAGCAGTACTTTGGCAAGTTGCTGCTTCTGCTGCATTTCATTCAGATGTAGATGCCTGCAAAGTGATTTAGGCATTATCCACGTGTCTTATTGAACGCTGGCAGCATGAGATCACTTTACCATTTTTGCCAGATAGCAGGGGATTTAATCAGAACCAGGAAGTCATTCAAAACCAAAGCTGTGTGTCTCTAGCAGTGTTTATTATCCCAGATATTTCCCTAAGAAAGAGAATAGGGAGATATTGCAAAGGCACTAAGCAGTCCCTAAATGCCCTGCCACCTCAGTGCTCCTGTCATTTTCATCAGCCTTGTAAATGTTTTTTTTTTCGTCACCTTCTGCCCTTCTGGGACTGGAAATGTAACGATTTATGCTTTAGACTTGTTACAGATGAAATACAAAGATCAAACATCAAAGAAAAAACAGTAGATAAAACAAATATTCCAGCGGAGATTTTTTGTTGTTGTTATTGTTTTGTTTTTTTAACTTCTTAATGCTTTCTCATACAATGAGAACAGTTCTTAAGCAAATGGTTTTATCATCTATCACATTTGCACCATATGCAGTTCCTTCAGTGTACATTTGGAAAGATGGACAAAAATAAAAATAGATGAAGGCATAGTAAGACAGATGTCCTGAAGTTCTAAATAACAAGGAAGTGGTCTCACTAGCAATAAGAATCACAAGAAAGTCCTTGGAGTTCCTCATTCGCAGTCAGTTCATTTCTTTTTGCGTGTAGGTTGGCTTCTTGTGAAATAAGAAGTTGACAGCACAAAAAGCAGTTCCCACGTACAGCAATGAATGCTTAAGGTGCAGGCACATCTAAATATCAGCCAGCTCCCACAGCCAACAAGCTGCCAAGACTTGCCAACCCTCCAACCACTCTGTGAAGTATTCAGCACATTTTTTAATCTGCAGTCAATATTTTAATTATGCTAACTGTTCTGTGGAATAATGTGGTTATTCCTTCCAGAGCCCGATAGCCTGGGGCCAGGCCATGCAATTACATGGAGGATGTCTGAGAAATATAAACAGCCAAGAGCCAAATCAGGGCTCTCTGAATCAGCAGAGTAAATGAGCAACAGCTTAACTTGACGTGCAATGTAGGGTGAGGGGCACTTGTACAAAGCTGAGCATGAGCTTAACCCACACTCAGTCCACATCGGCCCAATTCTACCCAGCACAGGGAGGCCAGGCTCTGTTTGGCCATTGTTGCTGTGACAGACCAGTTGGCCACAGCAGTTTGCTCTGACTAGAGCTTGTTGGCTTTTTCTACTGAAATTGGTTGAAGTCCCTGCTGTATACTGCTGAGGGCAAAGGCTTCTGTGCCAGAGATCCACATGCAAAGCTCCTCATATATCGCACGCTTTTCATCTGCTTTGTGTGTATCAAAGGGATGGAGATGAATGTGGCTGTGCTCCTACTGATGTTGAGTCTAACTTATTGTTGGGATTTTTTTTTATGATAATCCAAAGATACAGTAGAATTATGCCTGATTACAGCAACTGCAGGCTGATGTGTGACAGTTGGGCACACCAGGAATGCAGAGCTGAGGTATTCTGAAGGTGTACTGACCTTGCCATGGAGAAGTGCTGTAAGACTCTTGGGAAATATTGTGAATACACAAATTGCACCGAGAAGTTTATGGGAAGGTGAAGGATGATAAATTTTAATATGCTGGGAATGTGGTAACTTCAGTTTGCGGCAATGGAAGTTGTGCTTTTCTAAATCCTCTGTGTATACTTTTAGGAGAAGGGCTTCTCAAAAATCTGCAACCTGCAGGCGGTTTAAAAATAACACAGCAGACAAGAGCTGCAGGCAAATTTGTAAGGCAGGCGTGCTATGTTTTCTGATGAATTGGTTTGTAATGCAGCTCTCCATGTTTGTCCCTTTATTGTTACTGCATCCATCTTTGCAACCCAGATAGAGAGTTAAAAAAAGGAAAAAGAGGTTCCGTTTGGTCCTCTCCAGAGGGCAGGGACAGTGAGTGGAATCAAAATTACCTCTTAGCTTTGGGGATAGATGTTTCTTTACCACTGCTAACTTCAGTGCTGCCTAGAATTACTGTCTGCTTCTAGAAAGGATGCTAAGGAAAGTGCCACAGGGAAAGCCAAGCTTTTAAAGGGCTCATGTCTACTTCTGTCAGTCTTGAATTGTGCAACCCAGACACCAGAGATCTTAGCCAAGAAACAGCAATTCTCTATGAGGGACACTCTATACAGAAGGTACTTTATATCTACTGAGAGAAGCCTGCGAGAAGGCAGAAAGTTTGTCTTGGTTTTAAAGTAAAATGCCGAGCTTTGGGAGAACAAGCAACAGGAATACCCCCTTTCCCTTAGTTCAGCAACCTAATTGCAGACAGAACTGAGCATGATGATTGGGACTACAAGACAGGGGTAAATTGTTTGTATCTGGAGCCTTTGGACACTTGTTATGTTCCAGAGAAGCAGAACTCTTACTGAAGAGATTTCTATTGCACTGGTTACATGTTTCCTGTGATGGAGCTCTTCCTTGTTCTGAAAATGTTTTCTGTCACCTGTTTCCACAGATGTGCTCTCTTTCTTAACTCTCCTTGAAAGAAAACTGCAGTGGAATGTTCCAGTTTGAAAGTTTCTGTTTCAATTTTTTGAATATACATTGTTTTGATTTTCCAATTTTGAATGCCTACTAGGAATGAAAATTAGTAACGAGAAAAAAAAGCTTTTTACAAGCCCGAAGCGTATTTAGTTCTTGAAGGATTTCACTTGTATTTGGATCTGTGAATGTTTTGGTTATTTTGGAAGAATTTACACTAAATATTTTGTGAAATGAAAAGCCTTGTTCCTGACAGTTTAGTTATTTAGGAAAGACAAGGTACCTGTAGTACATTATT